GACCTGTAACCTGCTACGACCTGTAACCTGCTACGACCTGTAACCTGCTAACCAAGGCCTTAAGGCCTTAGTTTTTATGCTTGTACGTGTTAGTGTACAGCACTTTGGCCAACGGTGCTGTTTTAAAGTGCTTTATAAATAAAGTTGTATTGTATTGTATTAAGAGTGAAGTGGACCTCTCTCCTCTGAGTAGTGCATGAGCTGACATTGGGGTGAATTTGCTAAGACAATAGGACATGTAAGCTGAGAAGATTAAAAAATTAACTTCACATACTTTGACCTTTAACCCTCCAAAGTTGATGAGCAGCAACCGTTGCATGGTAACTGCTGATGTCTTTCCACCTTGGCATTGTGTTAACACAGACCTCTATGCTCCGCAGCAACAAAACAACTGAACTGCTTTTGGGATCTGCTGTGTGGTTTTGTACACTTAAGGTTTTAGATTTTGATAAGTTATACGCCTGGTATCGACCAGAAAACTTAGGGACTTTCTTTTTCCATTATAGGTCAAACCAAGATGAACATTTAATTTACAATCAAACCTAAAGAATAAACGCCTTTTTCACACGACAGGAACCTGCAGCGTGTAAAGTAAAATGAAGAGCAGCAGCTGGATGGCTGCATGGGTTTAATCCGTGACATGTTTTAACTTGTTGAAAGAGCCAAGAGCAGGATGAGATGTTGAGTTTATACACAAGCATGATGAAAAGCAGCTGCCTCAGCCTGAAAAGGAGACCATAATGAACTGGTTTGTTGGATTAGATGCTGGTGCACAAAGGAACAACATACTACACACACTTCTCTGTGATTATAGGAGTGTATTAGACATTAACTCTTTTCCTGTGACAGCCTGTAGCTCTCTTCTCCAGCATTCAGACAATTATTATAGTCTGTGTGTTATAATGTCAGTAAATAATAATAATACTTTACAGTTTATCCTGGTGCGATAATGTAAGTAACCCAACTTTATGGGTAAAATAGGCACATAAATATAATCTCACATCATATTATTTGGAGTCAGGCCAAAATCAATACCTCGATGAAGGATCAATAGGAGTGAACGGCTCCTCCTCCTCCTCCTCGGTTTAGTTCATCCTGCAAACCGCCGCTCCTTTTTCAGCTCCAGGAAAGTTTAGTTTTCGATAAGTTGGTAAAGATCTCCTCATGTCGTCAAGTTTTTCAAAGAAACGATTCTTCTTTCAGCCCGAGCGTCTTCGCTGCCGATGAAACACGAGCGAAGTCGAGCTGCGGGTAAACACGCGCATCTTAGCCCCGGTGCGGCCTTTCAAAGTAAAACACTGCTTCCGGAAACCGCAGCTTTTATTCCATTAACGTTTATATTTTCTGATGCGTAGGCTGTTTTTAAAGTCAGCAATATTAAAACATTCAAGGTCAGTTTTGATAAATAAACTTATCCTTAAAATAGATGCGTTTTGGTAAACTTCAAGTTTAAGCTCATGTTTATGCGTTAGCGACAGGTGCTGCTAACATCATTAGCTTTCAATCTAGTGTGCCATAAGAATGGATATCTGTAAAATCATATTTAAATGACAGTTACTAATTTTTGGTGTTTGAGTGAGACAAAAAGCAATGTGCAAATGGAGTGAAAGCAAAAGCCTTGGAATTAGCCGATGGCATGGCACAAAGCTAGGTTAGCTAAGCAAGTTAGCAGCTGGGCAATCGTTTCTAATATTGTATTGTAAATATTTTGCATGTACTCTTTTTATTTGTTTAAAAAATTCTATTTAAGGTAAAAAAAAAATTATAAGTTTACATACATATCACTTTTCAATTTAAAATGCTATTCGCTCACAGCTAGTTAGCAAGACATTAGCTTGTGTGGTGCGTTCTGTGAAAATCGGAATTTCTGTGATCTTGTTTGGAAAAAAAATAACGAACGCACCACAAAGTCGAAATTCCGAGTAGGAATGCAAATAATATGTTGTTATCGACTTGTATTGTTAATAGTAGGTAGACTAGATATGCATGTGATGATTTAACTATTTAAAAATCAACAAAAATTATTACAACTGGAACGTGATTAAGTAAAATCTTTTTAGAGTTCCGACTTCCGAGTTACATTGAACGCCTTACCCCTTTAACTTTTTCCATGAAAACGTACTTTTACTTTAAAGTATTAATGGAAACATTTTCTTCATGAGTCAAACTGATGCAACTATACAGATTAAACGAATGAAAATATAATTTGAATAATTTCTTCTCGTCACCGACCTCAACTTTTGTTTTATTTTGAAAACCGCACTTCTCAACATCCGCTGATTGGTGTTCTCTTGTGTGACTTAACTCAGAAGAAACGGGATTTAAATCTTGGTTCAGTTTCCGTCAGCGGTTCCAAAGTTAGTTTGTGTGTTTTAGATTGTGATTCGTGTAACCTCGCTGCACATTTCTCGGTCTGAAGCAGAAACGGAACCGAACATCAGCGGTGTCGGTGTTTCAGGCCGGGCTCAGGAGCCAGCTGGCGCCCCGCAGGAAACCAGGAATGCATCACAGCCACAGATATCATATAATCATAATGTTTATATCTATGATCACAAGCTGTCAGGATGCGTTCAATGCAGGACATTAAAAAACTCAAAAATATCTGTACTATAAATACTAAGTCACGTTCAAGGCCTGAAATGTGGTAGTAGCTGACAGTTGTTAAATACAAACTCTGAGTGTAGTCTCTAATGCTATCTTTATTTGGCTTTATTTGTAATGAGCTTCATGAGACTATTAAAGGTTGAATTGAACTGCAAAAAAAATATTTGGCTACAAGTTTATCTTTTATTTTGTTGATCGTAGTTTAAAACAACTGCTTTTATTTTGGAAAAGTTTTGAATATTAGAGCAATTTAAAAATGTGTTGCTAATGTTGCTAATTAAAAAGTCAAGCATTTTGATTTTGACTATTATGAAACAGCAGCTAGTTTTTGTTGGTGCGCACATTCAAACATAAACCAAACAAAAACATTTGAAAATACAGTGAATGCTGAGTGCCGAATAAAAGAAGAACACAAGCTAAAAGCTAAATGTAGCAAATTATAGCTCAAATCTAAAAGTAGTTCAACTTACCAGAAAGCTAAAAGTTTTTAGGCAAGCTAAAATGAGCAAAAAGCTAGCTGCAAGTTAATTATAACTAAAAGCCAACCAACGCTAAAAACAAAACGACGCTAAACTTTCTTAAAGCTAACAGTCGTAAAAGGTTGACTTAAAGCTGAAATGCTAGCTAAAAGTAAAAAATAAAATAAAATAGCCAGGTCATAGCTAAAAGTAGAAAAAATAGCTAAAATCCAAAGCAAGCAAAATACTATCTGAAAGCTAAAAGGATCCAAATGTTAGCTAAAAGTTGCAAAACTATTTCAAAAGTAAAAAGTAGCACAAGGTTAGTTAAATATTAGTTAAAAGCTAATTGAAACCTAACAGAAAATAAAGTAGCAGAAGGCTATGCAAAAACCAAAGTGGCCACAGAGTAGCTAAATGTTGGCTAAAAGCTAGTTATAAAATCTAAAAGCTGCTCTAAAAACAGCTGAAGTATCAAAAGACTAACCGAAAAGCAGCAACAAGCCAACTAAAATCTAAAAGCTCAAAGTAGCAGAGCAGCTAAGAACCAAGTTTATTTTTAAAGAAGAGAAAATATTTGTACATAAAGTTAAATAATTTGAAAAAGTGAGAAAGTTGCAAACCAACAATCATAGCCCCCCCCCCCCCCACACACACCCACACTCACCCACTCCTGAATTAGCTAAACTTTTGGATTCACGAGCAGAAGTTTTATTTCATTATCATTTCACTTGAATTAGTTTGTGATATTTAAAAATGAAATCAATATCAATCGTACCAGGATCAATAAATCATATTTTTATTGTGTCACTCATATTTCTTGTTTTAATAACAACCCGATGGATAAGTGGATGAATTACATCATTAATGGATGATGCCGTTTCTGTCTGGACAGTCTGGACTGCAGCGGGATCTTCTTGGGTCTCGGAGGATTCCTGCTCCGGGTTTTCAACAACCAGACCTGAGACAGAGTCGTGTTGGATCCTTCCAGCTGAGCTGAACTCCGTCAGACATGGCTGGACTTCCAGAAGTTGCTGCTCAGTGGAAGCTCTGACTGAGGAATGAGTGGTATGTTTGGGAGGGCAGCCCCCCTGCGCTCTGGGCTTATCGTTTTTTTATTTTATTTTATTTCCTGTTCTAGGCCTGTCATGTTTCTACAAAGCCTTTCTTCTTCTCTCCTTTGTGAGATAAGATTCTGCAGTTTTGTGGTTTTCAGGGTCAGCTCTCTCTTCACGTGACGCTTTACTTTTCTGTCCAGGTGCTGTTTTTTTATGTTGTCCTGTTATTTTTATATTCCAAACGTGCAGTTTTTACATACAGCTTTTATTCTGCTTCTTCTCTGCAACATAAAGTTCTGTTTTGTCACCTTTTCCTTTGAGACACTTCTCTTTTTCATGAGATAATCAGCTCTTTTTTCACTTCAGACAAACTTTTCTTCTTGGTTTGATGCATTCCTTCGTCTTTAACAGACTTCACCTTAAACAATATACCGTGCAGTACATGTGTTTGTACATAAAAATATTCTTTATTAGTAAAAATGAACAGGTAAGATACTATTCTGATTTACTGTGTTTACTTTTTTCATGTAATGAAATGAGAAACATTTAGTCCTCAAAAGTTGCTAACCTAATTCATACGTTTGACTCGATATTTTATGATTCTTCTGTCAAATTACGTGTTTTATTGTGATCCATATTTTATTTTGCCTGCATGAGGCTCATAGTTGCTCAGTGGTCAGCAATAATGCTTAAGCTGAAGGTTAGTGCCCAGATTACATCAGGAAGGACATCCGGTGTGTTTGCTTGCTGTGGTGACCCTCACAGCAGCTAAAAACACATTTATTTTATCATCATAGACATTGATATGGTCTTTAAAATCAACTGTAAATCAATGAAAGTAGGATTCCTTAGAGAAATGCATGTTATGCAACTCATTTTATCTCAAAGATGCTGCACAATTTGTTAGTCCGTTTGGCTTGCGTTGGAGATAGGTCTTAGCTACAATGAATTTTAGCTCATAATCTGTAAAAAAAAAGACTGTTTTCGCCATTTATGCATTTGCTAAT